TGTTTTTGATTGTAATAGCCTGTCCTGGTTAGGGAAACCCACAGCCTCTCCCCCTTCCCCTCCCCTCTTCTGTAAACCCTGGTAGAAGTTTAAACAACCCAGGGAGATTTTTTCTCACCAGTCTTATTTTACTAATAGGAAACAAGTGTTTGAAGCAGCAAAGGGAGCTTTCAGCCACTGGCAAAGGAATAATTGCCCTTGAGAGAGGTGCTGGGGTCCTGCTCGGAGCTGTGGGCTGGGGCAGCTCGCTGCTGCAGCTTGGAGCCCCCCGGGACGGTCACGCTCTTGGTTTGTCAGCTCCACCAACACCAGCGAAACCACAGAACGCTCCAAGTGTGGAACAAGTTGTCGCTGGCTCTCGTGGAGCCGCTCAGCCCCAAGGAGCCCCCACCATAAAAAAACCCGAGCCCCGTTTGGTTTGGTTGCTTGCAACGTCTTTGTTCCTCGAGTGAAGGAGAAAACTCCATGTCCTGGTTTCTTGGTTTTCACCAAGAATCCCAAACTCCCGTGGAGCTGGAAGGGACCCAGGAGTGGAGGGGAAGGACCGTTCCCAAGGCTGGAGCAGGTCCCGGCGGAGGGTGCGTGCTGGTGTAGGGTGGGGGCTGGAAGCAGCCTCTGCTCGAGGAGGTGCTGCTGCGCGGAGCTGGGGGCAAATCCAGCAAACCCTCCCAGTACAAACCCGGCTTTTGCATCCGTGAGCTGTTTGCAGAACTGTTTCCATTTTGGCTGAGCTCAAGACAATGCGCTCCTGTGTTGCGTGTGTCAGAGGGGGGAGCGCGAGCGAGGAGAAGCCTCACCTAATGCTCAGCCCTTGGACATCCCATCAAACCTCCCGTCTGCCCTCCGGTTGTCAGCTCTAAGGGCCGTGTTTTTCTGCCCCTGGGGACGTGGGGCTTTACCCAGAGTGGTTCGAGTTCGCCCTGCCTGCCTGCCTGTCCCACTTTATCGGGATGTTTTCTCTCTTGCGCCTGGAGAAGCGATGCTCACGGCAGCCTGCCTCCTCCTGCTGCTTCCCTGAGGGACAGACCAGCTCCGCGCTTTGCTGGCTTGGGCTCGGGAAGTCCAAGTGCCACCTTTCTCTAGGGGAAAAAAAGGCAGAAAGAAAGCCAAAAGCCGTGGCTAAAATACCTTCCTCCTGTGATGAGCCCCACGGCTGTATGGCTTGTGCAGGAGCGATTGTGGTGCTGCTGAGAGCTGGGGTAGGTTGCAGGAGAGGGACTGGCTACCCCCAGGGCTGTGCTGGGGCCACTCTGACAAACCCCTCCCCAGGAGGGAGGAACCCCAAACCCCTGGGATCCAGGGATGCTGCAGCTCCCGAGGAGCTTCGTGTTGGAAACGCCTCGTGGGGCCGCCCTGGACAGGTGCCTTCTTCTTCCATCTGCTCGCTGTCACTCCCAGGGCTGGCGCTGAAGCTGATTAAACACTGGGGAGCTCTTTGAAGATGAAATTTGCTGTGTTCATGTTAAATATTAGCATGAGTAGCCCCAGGGCTAGCTGTGCTGCCGTTCACAAGGAATATCTTCAATAACGTCTTCTTTTTTTTTTTGCCTACCCCAGGCTGTGCTTTCCATCTTATACACACACACACATATGTACATATATATATTTGTGCTTTTTTGTGTGGATAGGAACTTAGCAATCGGGATTGGGATTCAGAATTTCCCGGAGGGCCTGGCTGTCAGCCTGCCTTTGCGCGGCGCTGGATTTTCACCGTGGAAAGCGTTCTGGTAAGCTGAGCTC